CCAACAACCTTAGAGATAAACTTATTCTATGCTCTCCTCCATCTCAACCTGCTGCCACTCTAACCATTAAGAATAAAATAAGCTTAAAAATCTAATCATGGAGTTAGGTGATATTTTATGAGGCCTATGGCCAGTTTAGAATCCCAGGAAATTTAAAAGTAAACCATATCCCAGATTCCTTCAGGATTTTGGTGACAAGCCACTTGCTTGTCACCATTTGCTCTTAGGTATGAAGTCCCCGTCCCCAGATTCCTTTCACTGACCAACCAACGAAGACATCTGAAAGTTACCAGCAGATTGCCTGCTTTCTTTGGCAGTTGTATTGACAACATTTAGGAGTGCGTGTCAAATTTGCATTGTATGAGAAACAAAGACTGTTTTTCTTAAATCATACCACTTACAAAACAGAATGAAGGGAAAAAAAAGAAAGAAAACCTAAGAGGTAGTGACCCCCTTTAAAAATATATTTTCTCTCTTTTGTTAGAGACAATATCCAGCCATCCAGACAAACTCCAAAACTTCTTCTTGGTTCAATTCCCTAATCTATGAGATGGAGTTCCTAGGTTTTGATAAGAACTTCATCAATGAGATTGATCCATGTCCACAGTTGAGCACAGCACCTGGCCTGGCATTCCATTAGGACTTGGTAACTGGTAAATCTTTCCATTGTCTTCATCAATGCTGTCATCATCACCTGGGATCATCCTCAAAAATCCTTAAAGGGTAAATAGCTGCAAAAAAAGTATGTGTATGACTGAGCTTTCCTTCAGCTCCAGGAAAGTCACTTTAACTAAGATCCTCTGTGACTTTCCTTTCTCCTTACCCTCAAATTCAGAGACATACTTTTTTAAGCTATAGCATGGCATTTGAAAAAAACAGTGCTGCTTCTCCTCTACACAAGGATCACATCCATATAAAATAAAATCAATTTGGCACTTTTCAACCACCCTGTTTAGCTATTTCCACACCACACAGGACTTGGCAAAGGGAAAGGATGTTGCAACTCTCCTATCCTTTCTCTCCACTTGTGGGAAAATTTTTTTCCTTTATTTTTTTTTTTTTGTTTAATTGTCTCTGACACATGCAAATATTCCATGTTCACAAGCAATTTGAAGAGATATGAAAAGCCTAAGGACGAATCATAGAGCCAATTAAAAAGAGACCTTCTGGTTTTGGAATTTATCTCAGGAGGAGACAAAGGATTTGTCATTTTGTTTTAGCAGAGAATTTTCTACCAGGTGCTTTAAAAAGATGATAAAATTCCACACCTTTTCAACTACAGGCATATAACATAAGCTGAAATATTTCAATACTTGCACTTGATAGATAAAGGATAAATGGTAACATGTTAATAATTACTGTTTAATAGGCTTAACACCACAATTAAATTCACAAATATGTTCTCCCTTGAATGACACATTTGGAAGCCATCCAACTTCTCTTCCTGTTTTAAATTGTGTATAATTGATACTATTTTGTCATTTAAAACAATACACACTGCTTATCCAGTGTCTGCCAGCAGGCTATTTATAATTATACAAGAAAAAAATATTCCTCCGGGAGAAAATCATCATTAATACAATACCATCATAAATAATAGAAAATGGAAACTGTTTACATCTTATGCAACTGTTTTATAAAAGAGTATAAATCATCAGGTTGTTTTTACAGGATGTTTCAATATGACAATATTGGTTCTTTTTCTCTATTTTCCCTCACTTTCTATATGAGATTCTAATTTTTACAAACAAGTTTTAGCCACTAAATACACACTCGTTACCTAAACACTATGGATGATTACTATCGAAAGTGATTTGTAGGTGATAGTTTTTCTTTCAGGAAAACTGCATGCCAACCATGAAGCAGAAATATTGAATAAAATAGAGTAGTGGGAATTTAAGAGATGTAATATAAACAATTAAGTGTGAATGACAAAAGATAGGCACTAAAGTATAATGGGGTCTAATTTGAAAGGATGTACAATGATGCAGATGACATTCATATGATATAACTTTGTTCAGTTTTTCCTCTGTAGTGATTTCTCACTTGGTATTGCCAATTAATATAGAGTACACGTACTTCATCTTATGATTATTCTGAGTGAAAAACTTGACTATCTAAATAAAAATAAGTAATAAATTCGTTGTAAGCAATTAATAGCAACAATCACAATGAGGCTGAAGGTAAGCATTGAAAAAATACCAGGACCATACCTTTATGCAGCCTATCCTAAGCTCTATGGCCCTCCCCTCTTTAGACATTTCTTTTTTTTTCTTTTTTTTAATTTATTTATGATAGTCACAGAGAGAGAGAGAGAGAGAGAGGCAGAGACACAGGCAGAGGGAGAAGCAGGCTCCATGCACCGGGAGCCCGACGTGGGATTCCATCCCAGGTCTCCAGGATCGCGCCCTGGGCCAAAGGCAGGCGCCAAACCGCTGCGCCACCCAGGGATCCCTCTTTAGACATTTCTTATGAGTGTAACCTGCAAATATGATTTAGAACTTCATTAGTATCTTTTCCCATTTTCCTCCCCTACCTGTTTTATATTGTTCATTGCTTTCCTTATAATAATCTGAGTAGCTTGTTGTCTCCTTCTGCTTTGCAACTCATGTTATGACCACTAGTATTGAGTATATACTATGGATTTAGTAACTCTTGGGAGACTGATTAATAGAATGACTGAGCATATTAACTGGGATGTTGATGAGTATATAAATAGGCAAAATATATTCTCTTCAAACGTGGTATAATTATTACTACCATCTGGTAAGAATGGTACTATTTTGTCTTAAGCTAGACTATCTCAGAAAACCAAAATGTAAAATATGTAAAATGTAAAGTACCGCTAGAAGAGCGGTCATAGGACTGACCAAAAAATGCTGAGCAAGCATTGAACATCAAAATGTTGAAATTGGTAACATTTATGTGAATATTGCAAAATTAGTCATTGTCTTCATCTTGCACAAACATCCTGGCACAGGGAAAAACGGCCATGGATGAGAAATCATCTATAAGTCTCTGAAAACAGTCATATCAAACTGCTTAGCTCACAATTAGTTCTATCAAAATAGCTATGGGGCATACTTATTATTTCCATGTTTAAATTAAATCCTGCTTAAGAAAACTGGTAAGAACTATATATTTACTTGAATGGTTAGAAAGTCACGGATTCTCTATTCTTTGTCTACAGGGCCACCCAAATGAACCTTGGAATAGCAGGAGGGGAATATATTCACGTAATTACTGGAATGCTTTTTTAATCTGCACTCTTGCATATGCACTGACAGATAAGATTATTACAAGACATGACACATTAATAAGTAACACCTAATTAGTTTGATAATTCTTTGATTAAGCCTTAATTTTCCTTGCTTTTCATGCAGCAATTCAAATGACTCCGTATTATTTGTTCCTTTTTCAGACTATTTTAGAACATGCTTTGAATAGTCTCAGTGGGTTACCTGAGGAGGAATTTATTTTTGTCTGACAACAAGTCCGTGCCATGAACAGTGACAAGGCTAGACCAAAACGATACTTGAATCAAAGTTTCCTCACTGCAAAGATACTCCTCTAAAATCTAGCACCACTTTCAAAAGGGTAGGAAGCATGTGAGAAGAATGACACAAGCCTTTGTTTTCTTCTCTTTAAATGGACACAGAGAAGTGAAGTCATCGAGCTCGGTATTATGAGGACATCAGTCTTTTTATTTACTAGCTTTCTCCCCAAACCTGCAGCCTCTTCATCACAACGAGGCTGCTTGAGAGAGAACAGCAGCGTTAGAGGAATCACAGCCACTGAGAAGTGCTCTGATCTACTTCTGTGTACATACCGGCTATTTATAGTGATGGGAATGTTTCGTGGATGGATTGTGACAAATATGAAAATCTTATACATTTACCTTGAACATCGCCCACCTTCAGATAATCAGAATCAACCCTCACGGGGATATGCCAAGTCCAGGAACTATGCACACCTGTGATTAAGCATAGGATTTCTCCCCTTTGCTTCACCACTTCGTTCTAATGCTTTATGCGGCCTACAGTTTACAGACACGTGTCGCAAACCAGTCTTTGTTAATTCTGAGCCTCTGTCTCTAGAGATACCACCAATAACTCCCTTAAGAATCTTTATGCGGGGGATCCCTGGGTGGCGCAGCGGTTTGGCGCCTGCTTTTGGCCCAGGGCGTGATCCTGGAGACCCCGGATCGAATCCCACGTTGGGCTCCCGGTGCATGGAGCCTGCTTCTCCCTCTGCCTGTGTCTCTGCCTCTCTCTCTCTCTCTCTCTCTCTCTCTCTCTCTGTGTGACTATCATAAATAAATAAAAATTAAAAAAAAAAGAATCTTTATGCGGGGCCTATTTGCAATGCTCAGAAGCCTGTCATCTTCTTAAATAACAAGATTATTTCTAGGAATGAGTAAAGAGGGCTGCTCTGGGATGATCATCAATAATTTTTGCCATTGAGATAAATATTAGGCATCATGAATTTAATTCAATAAACGTACCATGGATTTGGCAAAACATAAGCCAGGAGGGATTTAAAAGCAAATGTTTCTTAAAGGTATGTCCAAGGCAGAAAACAAAGACTTGCGAGGGAGAGAATGGTAATCATACACGATCATTAAATCAGAAAGACACAGGGAGGGGTGAGAGGAAAATCACAATTTTGCTGTATTTGGACACAATCACCAGCCCCATCACCGCTATAGACATACATGGTGCTTATGCTTGTCATAGTCAAGCAGTCTTTCCAGTGTGTGTGTGTGTTCATGACTGAATCCACATGTCAACTCTAAAAAGTAATGTCTATGATCCCACTTTAAAGGATAAGTAAGCACCATGCGTATTTGTTCACTGTTATATCCCTAGAATCTGGCATAGGACCTAGAACTTACCTAAAATACACTTCAATCAAACTCATTCTATGTATTTAATGCAAGATTTTTCATATGATCCTCAATATCACAGTGTGGATTATGTATTTTTGCCCACTTTATGTAGGGGGTAGGACCAAGGCTGGGAAGACAGCAGATGGCTACAGTGGGCCAAATCAGTGTTACAGATGATTTGTTGCTGTGGATCGGAAAAAACGTTTTCCTCTCCCTAACACAATTCTGCTGGTAACAACTCACAGATACGTGCTCAATGACCAAAGAAGAGCCCACACGCGGAGAGCCGGGGACCGGTAAGTGCGCTTTGACCCTTTGCAAATGTGTTTTGTCACAACCTTATCAGCCTCCTCTGACAGAGGAGGAAATGAAGGTTGAAAGAAATTGGTTAATTTGACTAAGTCCTATTTCAAGCAAGTGGCAGGGCCTAGAATTGAAACCGTGCTTTCTGGCTGTGGAGTCTATGCCTAACCACCTGATTTCACCGCCTGAAATATCTGTGTGTGGCTACCTCTGAAGATCAAAGTTGTGCAAAACAACAAAACTCAGCCAGAGAAGGAAAGGAAATCATTGCTTCTTTCTAGATGATGGCTCAGTGGCTCAGTTCCAGCACTTTTTTTTTGTTTTTACTACACTATGTTTTTAATAAATAGTTACACATATTTCACCCTCCTCATTTATCTCTTAACTTCATTTGAGTTTCTACCACCTGTGTGAACTTTGATTGTCAAAACTGTTTGTAGCATTTTGAGTTGCAACACTAATTTCATAAGTTACTTGCACCCAGTCCCCATGACCACCGATATGAACAATGGCCTAGTAAATTTGCCCTTTCTTCCTTTAAAGCCATGTTTTTGGTTTATCAGGTTTCGCAATATTTCATAAACTTTACCTCATTTTTCAATCCTTTAAATCCCTATCTGATCACACTCTCTGAAACACTGGTTTCACGTCATTGTTCTGCTTAAAATATTTCAAAGACCCTCTTCTGCTCCGAGTTTCAGCTTGGCCTGATTGACCGAGCAGCTGTAATGTCACCACAAACTTATCCACTTCTTACTTTGCTGATGTTTTCTAGTCATAACTTAGCTTGCTGTCAGTCTGATCCCCTCGTCGTTGTACAAACACATCAATTTCACACGCACCGCCATGTCACGTCCCTGTTCATTTTCTCTTCCATTCATATACAAAGCAAGGCCTATGTATTCCTTCAAGCTGCATCAAATACTAATAATCCATCCTTCAAGTTCTAGATGTCTTTATCTCTCCTGACATCAGGAACCACAGATGTCTCTCTGAAACTTGTAACAATTAATATCAGTATTATGCTCAATCTGTCTCCCAACTTTAACCTTTTCCTACCATTTATTAGTTCCTTTTTCTCTTTCAAATACTCATCCATTCCACTGGTTAAAGTTAGAGATCTTCCTTTAGCATTCTTACATCCCCTACTGTGCTTGGTTGGGGACTGCAGATCATGAAGAAGGTATTTAGGATCTGTATGTCGACTTTTTTAACTCACTCTTTTGGCAACCTCATTTCCACCATTGACCTCTCCCTGAAACTCCACATTTGGTTGTCTAACTGCAGATGACTTCAGAAGTTGTTATGAGAATTTAATGAGTAAAGTGTGTGAAAGTACCTGGTATGAGCCTTGGTATTTAGCAGGTGCTTGACAAACGATGTTTGGAGGGGAATCTCGCACATATTCCCCTTTTGCAGCTGAATAGCAACTGTGGCTTTAAGAACAGAAAAGGTATCCAAATCTCCTATGTCTCCAGCCCTGCCCATTCCTGTGACTTTTGACCCACTCTCCTCCTTTAGCCCCTATTTGGGGTTTTTTGTTGGTTGGTTGGTTGATTTGGTTTAGTTTTTCAGGCCAACAACCTCTGAAAAATCTTACTTTCCTCTCCTTTCGTATTTGTGATAATAAATCCCATGATTCTACTGCTGTGATATCTCTAAAATCATCTTAATCCTCTTTATTACATCTCCCAAGATCAATCTTAACTTCCTCTCCTTAGACATATCTCAACTGGTCTTTCCAATTTCATTCCCTCCAAACCTTCTTGCACAAATGTTTCCAATTCTGTTTCTCTTTCTTGTGTCAATTGGAGTGAGCCACTTGTAGTTGTGCATCTATACCTAAAAAAGCAGGGAGCTTTGGGCTTTAGAATTAGTCAGGCTGGGTTTGAATCCCCTGTCTGCACGGTGTTTGACTTGGACAAAACACTTAAATTCTCTCTACCTCAATTCTCTGTTCTATAAAACAAGGTTGATGGTAACACTCTTCCCAAGTTTTATAAGGATTAAATAAGATTATTTTAAGAAACTAGCAGAGAATAAATACTCACCAGCTGGTAGTCACAAAAGAACATTTCAAGATAGTGTCATTCTGTGCCTTAAGTGTTATCCCTTCAGCCTTTATATCTTTATCCTTAAATTCATATAGACATAGTCTACCAATGTCTCAAGACGCATTTCCATTTTTCTTCTTCCATAGGATCTTCTCTGATTTTTCACACCAAAAAAGCATTATCTTTTTTGCAGTAAATTTCCATAGTAAAAGAGAAGGGAAAAACATGTGGGGAGAGAACATGGGCATGTAGTTTCTCATTTCATCATTTTAAAAACCTTAAGAAATACATTTTAATAAAAAACTGAGACTGAAAAAAATTAGCAGAAGAAAAGTATTTAAATCCTGGCTTGTGTGACCTTCACATTTATGTTCTCGCTATTGATTTTCAGTGTGCCTATCAGAGTCTATTGAAGCTAATCTTAGTTGTTTTTGTTTTTTTTTTTTTTTTTAATCTTAGTTTTTGAGGTTTGGTTTGGTTTGGTTTTGAGCAATTATAACTACTTGTAGAGACTGACTTGTCTCGTTTTTTCTTATAGGTTTTCCAAGGAGCAAAGAAAAATATTACTTATTTTTTAAATAGAATAAAATTATAAATTAAACGTAGTTATAAAAAAATAAAATTATAAAATCATTTAAAAATTCATTATAACTTGTAATTACCATGTAGCACCATTGAACAATTTTGGAAATCTAGGACACATGATGAAATCTATATTATACTGTTTTTTTCCCCTATCTTGAACATTTCAATCTCATCAACTTAGGAATTATTTCATTATTACTCATCAATTATTCCTAACAATGCTAAAAATGACTAAAATAATAAGAAAAATAGAAAAATGATGCAGTTGCTTGGAAGGATGATGCAACTGGAAAATAAACCATCATTATCATCATTCAGCTTCCTTGCTGTGACTAAAGTAGTGCATCATCATTTGAGAAGGTATAAAAGAAGTCTGGAAATATTTGTATGGTCTACTTCTAGTTTCTTTGAACACAGTTTAGAATTTAGAAGTTCTATTTTTCATCTATAGCTGCAAAGAGAAGAAAATCAACCGAAGACGGTATTTCAGTTACTAAAATCAGGAGATGAATGCAAAAAAAGAGATAACAGTATGCTAAACTTTAATGATTAGGGTGAAATTGAAATTGATCATTCAAATGAAATCTCAGACCATGAATTTTCAGGTAACAATGAATTTTCTCAAAAATCAATGAGTGAGGGGATCCCTAGTGGCTCAGTGGTTTAGCACCTGACTTCAGCCCAGGGCCTGATCCTGGAGTCCCAGGATTGAGTCCCGCATTAGGCTCCCTGCATGGAGACTGCTTCTCCCTCTGCCTGTGTCTCTGCCTCTCTCTTTCTGTGTCTCTCATGAATAAATAAATAAAATCTTAAAAAAAAAAAAGAATCAGTGAGTGAATAATTCATTTCAAAGGACAAAAAGGAAATATAGTATTCTCATTCAGTTAGTCCTTCAACCATGACCTTATCACTCAATATTTTGTGCAAGAAACTAGCCTGTCTCATTTTGTTAGAAGCGTATGTTACAGTACTTTTTCACCTTTTATAAAATCTATGTGTGAAAATTTGTAGTTTTTAAGTGCACAAATGCTAAAGAAAGGTAAAAGCAGGTATCAGAATGAAATCAATAATGTATAAATTAAAAAAATCATTGGATTTATCATTTTAAAGAATGTTTATAAAGCTAAAAAATGTCTCACAGTGATGGGATGGAGATGACATTGTCTTCTCAATGAAATTATGAACCTCAAAGATTTCAAAAATTTGCTGCATTTTTGAAATATAAATTCTAAAAGAACCAGAAGTAATATTGTGCTAGAATCTATTAGAGATGTGTTTGAAATCTGGAATTAGTATCTATTAGATGCAGATATGACATGTTTATGCATGATAAATAGATGTGCAGTTAGTTCATTTTGAAGATGTTTCCAATTTGGAGTATATATACATTCAAAATCAGAAAACTGATTAAATAAACTTTTAGCTTTGCTGTATTTACATTTTTATCACAATTTTCAATATCCCTTTATCCTTTCTTCTATGAACCATTTTTCAAAATGATTCAAAATATTAAAAAACATTGAGAGGTCCAAGTGGTAAGTGGAGATAACTATTGTTCTTAGTATATTGAGATGAGCATGTACACTTTCTAAACCTCTATTGCACTTACCAACTTATCCTTGGTTATAAAGTTATTTATGCTATGTCTTATCTCTTTTCTAGGCTATCAGCTTGCTAAGGGGATTCAACAAATATTCATTGAGTTAACATCAAAACTCCCAAAGCTATTATTTTGTGAAGATAATTAGATGTTCGAACTATAGTAAGTATGTTTTTATGGAACAGTACTTTTTTTAGAGAAAAGTAAAGTAAAGCTGACTCTTACCTAGTCTTTTCCATTACAGCCAATTGAGCTCTGAAATACATTAGATTAAACCGTTAAATAACAGTGACTATAATGCAATTACATTTGACCTCTTCTCAGCAGGATCAAACCAAAAATGCAGTTAGGCACAACTAAAGTTCAAGAAAAGGATCTTAATAAAATAGGAGTACTAACTTATTCCTTGAGGCTCTTTCTAGCTGTGGACTTAAAACCCATAGAATTGGAATACGAGCTGCCAAAGAATACCTTATTATAGTCAGAGAAGATTTTGATAGGTGAATACCTTCAATTTTAAGAGAGCAAATGACACAGAAAGTGGAATAAATTACCTTGACATAAATTCTTGGCTCAAGTAAAAGTCAGACAGCAGGTGGAATTTCAATGGTTGGGATAACTTCTAAGGGCTAAACTTTAACTGGTATTGAACTTTAATCGTAATGGCTTTATGATTATAATTTTTTTTCATACAGAGATGAAGAGCTGAAGAAAAGTATTAAAATGACTAAGCAAAAGTACAGGAGGCCTGGTTCCTGTACTGGACATTTAAATTGATTTCCTTATCTATAGTAAATATGAAGAGGTCTGTGAGCCATGTGATTTTTTTTTCCTTATTGAAATTTATCTCTTGCCTAACTCAGTTGACTTTGCCCAGCAATACATGCAGTTCATTTGGCCCAGGGGAACTTGATGAAGAGGAAATGTGAAAATGCCTAGCAAGATCACGATGGTTCTTTTAGAGTCTACTTAAATGAATGAAATTATGAGTATTGCTATCACTTAAGAAAAATGTGCTTAGCAACAAAGTATTGAAAAGGAAATTGGAGTTACTGGAAGGTTGATAAAGATGAATAAATCTGAAATCATTTATCTTGACCTTCAGTACTATCAATTTCTAAAAGCAAAACAAACAAAACAAAAAGTATGAAACTCTGTAAATTGAGTCTCTATGTAGCTACCATATCTGCCGTGACTGGTTTCCTTAGTTGTCTCATAAGAAAATGACAACTAGACTATTTAATCCTAAAAAGTGTGAATCATCAGCCTCAGGAGAGCCACCTTAGGAAAACAAGGTGAGTCGTCCTCCCTTCCCTCCTCACTCTTTCCTTCCTCTTCTTTTCCCTAAGGCAGTTTAGGGACTATTCAAAACATTTTCCATAACATTGACCATGTACACAATCAAGAGATCTAATGGCAGAGTTGTTAGATCATTTAAGAGTAGTAGAGAGAATATTTTTAGAGAGGGGAGCATTTCAGTATCCATAACACCCCTCAAATTATACATTGTACATATACATCTACTCCAGTTGCCCACAGGGCCAGCCTTAGTAGAATATACTCACTTTCTAGGTTTAAATAGAATTTTCTTGATTTTCCAATTTAATATAGAGTGAGTCAGTACAGGTGAATTTTAATTAGATTCAACAAAATGATACGATCCATACATTTAATGTTGGCTTGTTAAGATGGTCCTCATAATTGAGGTGGGGATTGTTACTGACTGTAAGATAGTGCATATTCACTACGGAGATTCAAAAAGAGCAATTCAGTTCATTTTCAGGTATTTCTTAGCTAAAAAAATTGGTAAGACCATCGTTGTTAGAAGCATTTTATTTAATGGGATAAAAGGCAGACCTTGAGACTAATGTCATAGTGTCAGTACATTTCATTAATAAGGTTTTCCAAATCGCAACTGTAATTTGGGCTACTTTTGAGGGTGTGGCAACATTATATAAGGGAAGTTCTTTATCCCAAAGGGAAAAATCAAATTATAGTTTAAAAATTCATTACCAATAATTAATAATGAACTCTAGCTAAACAATAACAGGTGTTCTACTAATCCCAAACAGAAACAGATGGAAGCACAAATGTTTTATAAATACTGGATACACGCAGAGCAATAAACTTGGCAGGAATTGTTTTATTCTCTAATTGTCAGTCAGAGTCAGAGTCTTATCACTTGCATTTTCTCTAAATTAATGTACCCAGATAAAATCTTGTTTCTCATTCCTTATTTTTCAAAACACAGGCCATATTTAGTGCTCTCTGTACTGTGTCACCAACAAAAGTAATATAAATTTTCCTTCTGTGCACTTATGAAGGTTCATAGAATTTGTTACATGAAACAACAGGCATACCATATAGGTTTTTTTTCCCTTCTCCAACTTCTTCCTTTCCATCCCCTGAAAGACTAAAATACAGAATTTCCCCCAAAATACTGATCTACATATTCCTGTATTTCTTAGACATTATAGCAATAAGCATTCAAAATAATGAATGTAGGTAGATGAAATAAATTAGGAAGGTGGTTAGAAAGGTAACAACTGCTAGTACGAAATATAATCCCATAGCACTTGGTAATGATTTCCAGGAGTTAGAATATCAGATAGTGCTACAGATCTAAACTCATGCCTATTTAGAAAATGTTCACATGGGACATTAGAAGAGTTTTCCTGTATGGTTAATAACAGAATTCTCCTTAACTCAGGCAGAGATGGTTTCACTGTTCCTTCTGATCCTCATTTGTTGTTGAATTTTTGGAAAGAAATGATTAGCTTGTGACTGTTAAACTCTTAGCATCTCTCATTGACTTTGACAATGTATGGTTCCCTTTGTCCTGTGATTTTCCTAGAAACTGCATTCTACGATCAATTAGTAGCTCTATGAATAATTTGGGGAGCACAATGAACACATTATTTTCCTCAAGCAAAGGCATTTAAAAACTTGTGCTCATTAGTATTTTTTTAAATTTTTATTTATTTATGATAGTCACAGAGGGAGAGAGAGAGGCAGAGACACAGGCGGAGGGAGAAGCAGGCTCCATGCACCGGGAGCCCGACGTGGGATTCGATCCCGGGTCTCCAGGATCGCGCCCTGGGCCAAAGGCAGGCGCCAAACCGCTGCGCCACCCAGGGATCCCTCATTAGTATTATAGATTCATGTGCATTACAAGGAAATAGTTGATCTTTTCGAAGGAAAATATGTGTAGAATATAACTTTTTAAAACCATCACAGTTAAATAAACTTGTCAGCAAATCTGTTACCTAAAATTGACTTAATGTTGTAGAGAGAGCGAGAGTCAGTAATGTTAAGTTTCTTTCATGTGGGGTACTCACGCAGACAGGCTGTGCTAAATTGAACGATTTAAAGAATAAAGTTAGAATAATAGTATTTTATGTATCTATTTATATGCTTGGTCAACAAATTAGCAAGGTCGTGACTCTGACCTCAATGTAAGGACACTGAAGACGAGGTGGGGTTCAATGATTTGCTTATGGTACAATACTAGAAAAGAATGGGGTCTAGCATTGCACCTGTATTTACGTCCAAAGCCCTCTTTTTTCACTATATTATTAAATTAGTTTCCTGCATGTTTCCATTTAATTTTACTATGCTTTTATACACATATGTTAACAATCATTTTTCCCAAATGAGTCATCATCCAACTGAGTCACCATACTTTTCAATGATTTCCATTTCAGTTTCTAACTCATAAGAAAGTAAACAAAAAAAAAAAAAAAAAAGAGTAAAAGGATTTAAAAACTGAGGAAGAGGAGGGAGTGGAAATTCACTTGAATAAATTATGAGAATTAACTCAATTTTCCTGAGAGCCAAAATTCTCATGTTCTTCAAATTTTCTAGGAGTAAATGTGTTATATACTTATTTTAAATATGATGATGCCAATTTGCCAATACATGCATAAATGTAGTCATAAAGTTTGAAGAAATTTCCATGAAAATAGTTTAGAGCCAAAATATAATTTGCTTTAAACAATGAGCTTCAATTATTCTAATGTTAATTATCTCCTTCCTTAACAATACCATCTTCTTAGAATTGTTCCTCCAAATATAACATAGTTCTTATCAGTCTTTAAATCTGCAAAAGACCAAGTATAAGCAATGGAGTCATTCATTCTTAGTTAAGATATTAGTAAAGAATCCCTTGTTACACTCTAGGCAACAATTAAAAAAAGATAGGAGAGATGAGAGATAAATTGCTTTCAGTAAAAATACTTCCCCACTGTGTTAACTATTAACTCCCAGGTTGACTATTTCCATCAATAGTAGATCCCTGGTGTGGCTAATCTTGGTTCATGTGAGAAAAAAAATTTTTTTGAAACAAATTAAATATTTGAATTCTGATGGATTTAATATGAATATTTTTCACTACTGAAAAAAAAAAGGGATACTTTTATTGTCGGCGGCCTTATAAGTTTACTCGAAATAAAATAAGATGATTCACCTCTTTGCTCCAAGATATTATTAAAGATATTAGCATTTTTTTGTAGATGAAGATATTAGCATATTTTTTTTTAGCTTTCAGCCAACTTCATTTGCAATAGGCCATGCGGTAAAATTAAAGGCCCTAATGCCAGTTATTACTTCTGCTTTTTTACTGGCTTTATTCTAGATCTACACATGCATTATGCAATTTTTTTAAATGAAAATACAGTTTAGTGCACACACACACAAAAAAAACCAACTGTCTCAGAGACAAAGACTATTAGAACAGACAAGCACAAAAATTTTTTTTGGAATACCTGGTCTTAAATCCCCATGGACAAACATGTCAATCATATATCGACAGAATGCATACTGATCTGATGGAGTGGAAAGAAAAAGAGCAATGAAAAAATGTCATCAAAACCATTTTTTTTTCCTAAAGAGAAATGGTTTCACAAAACAAACAAAATAGCACAATTCTACTTCAGTTACTACAATATTTTCCGTGAAGGAATAATTTGCACTCATATGAACACACAGGGGAAAAAAGATGTAATAAATGTAAGATTCTATTTCTTCCATACATAAGAAATAGCCTTAAAAAACTGCACGGACTACTTCAGGGTAACATCACACAGTTGTTGTTGTTGCTGGGTTGTTTGTTTGTTTGCTTAGATCCAAACACTTTTCATCAAACTCATTACAGAAGTCATCATATTAGAGCACTTTTTCTTGCGATTCCTATATACACTTCCAATAATGAACCAGAAGTTTTGAAAGAGGAAATTATTTCCAACTTGGAGCACTTTACCAATTATTCATTGCAAGCCCTTCTGCTAAGTGTCTAAATGGAGCTGTAGAATATCTTCTCCAAAAGGCAAGCAGGAAGGCTAACTCCTTTGCAAGGCGTTAGGGGTTCTGCATGGAAATGCTCCCCAACTAGAAGAGTATGTGCAGGAGAACAGACTTTCAGCATCAAACGATGTCATTGCTAAGTTCATTAATTGAGTAGTCGCCATTGAAGATATCTTGTGATCTTGACTAGCCTATGGTCTATGAAAAAAAGTTTTAATGAAAAAGGATTTGAGCACTTTGGGCAAACTTAGTCAAATGATTTCAGTTTGTTTGTTTTTTCTTTATTTTCCCTCTAAATCAAAGCCATCACGGTGAACTTTCAATTTTTGCAGAACATTACATTCTGCTGAGGTCATTCCAACACAAATTTCAGTGGGTGAATTATTCCATAAGTTTTGCCAGGTCTTCTTTAAAGCTTGCATATTATGAAATTAATCTTGTTCAAGATGATTTACCTTCTAAATAGGCATTTCATGAATCTAACCAATCCAAAGGCAGCTCTAGGAGCAAGAGTTTATTCAATTTACATAACATGACACACCCTTATGTGCTTGAGATTAAGTATACCAAACATGGGAAATAATAAAACTTATTACTGTATAATAAACACACATACAGTGATTTTTGTAAACCCTATTTCTTTAGAGTATTAGCAGTATTTTTAGAGTAATCCATTTTATTATGAAACTCTGCCAGTCTTTGAACAAATAATGTAGTTATTGCAGTAATGTAAAAATATAATCCTTTTCATTAGTACCTAAATACGAGCAAGCCAAAACTCATAAAGTTTCAAGGATTTGCATGTGTGTTGGTTCTTGAATTACAGCACATTTTCCCATAGGTGAGGTGGGAGTTGGTGGGAGGCTGGTTCTCAGTTCAAATCCAGGAATCTATTTGTTCCTGGATATACCCGTGGTAACAGCCAGGGTTTCTAAAACCATGACAAACAAACCCTATGGCACAGGAGAGAATTAAGGTTAACATAGAAAATATTTTCTCTTTTCTGGACAGACCTGTTTGTCGAGCAAAATTCTGGAATAGGAGATTTGGCTCTAAGATACAGCAAAATGAAAAAGTGTATTTCCTTTACATGGCAAATTTGAGGTGGAGCAAGGGTAGACTTCCTGAAATGTTCAAGCTTCTCCCTTTGTTTCAGTACCTTAAGTGACAATATTCTTTTTAGATTTGTCCTTCCTACAATTTAGAAGTAGTTCTCAAAGGGCAATTTAAATATCAAGCAGACAAGGCATGTGTTCTAATTCCAGGGTCTAAATCCTAGAATATGCATTTTTAACAAACTCCTCAGAAGACCTAACTAGACTATATTCCAGAATCATCGATCTAAAAATCCATCAGTTTTTTTTTTTTTTTTACTTCACAGTGCTTCCTAGTGACACAATCGCCTTCAGAATATGTGCATGTAAGAAGTTGAGAATGCAGGGACTATCTGGAATTTGAAGGGTTTGGGTAATCCCCAAAATTAAATAATGCTCTCTGCATTGTGCAAGTGGCAAGTTGTGATGGCATATTTGAACACACAGCATATGGAATAGTATGTTGAATTAACTAAAGTTCATGCTTCAGAGTTTTTTTTTTTTTTTAACTGAATGCTGACAGTGTAATGAAACTCTTTAGCCTCTATGCTAAATTATTACCAAAGTAAAATGCTTGCATTTATTTCACCAACATTTTCTGGCTCCAAAAGTCATTCATTTAATTAATGCATCAGTAATCCTCTGTGCTTCTAATTTAAGAAAGAAAATTTATTTTTTAAAAGATTGATTGATTTGAAAGAGAGAGAGAGAGAAAGAAAGAAAGGAAGCACAAACAGGGAAAGCTGCAGAAGGAGAGGGAGAAGCAGGCTTCCCATCAAGCAGGGAGCCTGATGTGGGGCCACATCCCAGGACCCCAGATTCATGACCAGAGCCGAAGGCAGGTGCTTTACCTGACTGAGCCACCCAGGTGCCCCCAAAATTCTTTATTAATTAAAAAAAGTTTAGTTTTTTTAATCTAGAAAATTGAATTACAATACTTAGATTGTTTCTGTTTTGAGCGATACTGTGATGTTGCATTCTAATGGCGCCAATAGGAAAATGAGAGGATTTTTACAATATTTAAATTAAGAATTTTCAAATATTTTAAACGAGGATGCCTATTTCCATCTGTCCTGAGTGTTGACCTAAACAACGTGCAAGAATTCTAGGCAAGTATATGTCAGGCAGCCTCCAGTGTGTCTGCTTCACCTAAGGATAAAGCAAAACCAAGCCTTTCTGATTTGCTTCTTTAAATGCAACTCGAATATTAAACGGGGAAAATTTTCCTAAAGAACTATTCTATTATGCTAACTTTATAGTTTTGTGATAATAATTCATATATAATAATTCATATAATTTCATAGGTGGTCACCATTTGTTAAATTTTTTTCCCACCAAATGAACATCTCCTAGGAATAAACACATGCTAACAATTTCTCCCCTCCCCAAGGAGCAGTCCTGGATGTCATGTTCCTGCCATGTTCCCTGTGGAGTGGCAGCTGAGAGAAAATGCATTCTAGGTGCAGAATGTCAGCAGAAGGGAAATTTTAAAAAACCTCTTATGAGCATGAGGCATGTGTACTCTGGTGCTCTATGGGAATTTCATATCGACTATATTCTCTCCGCCTGCCACAAATATTCAGATAGTTGTTGAAAAGAAGAAGATGAAGAAGTAGGAAGAAAAGGAGGAGGAGGAGGAGGGAGAGGAGGAGGAGGAAAGAGAGAAAGAGGCAGCTGAGGGGAATGAAAAGAAAGAATGAGTATAGCAGTGGGGAGGTTTGGTTTTCTCCTTCCCCATAGATTTGTCATAGGGCATCAGAAAATCAGAGATCAATGCCTGAACATGCCTGAACATGCCAACCTTCTTACCCTACTTTAAATAGGTTGGTCCATAAAAACTAGATTATGTGGTACGTAAGTGGATGTATAAGTTTATGGTAGGCATGTACACACCTATGGGTCTGATTCCCAAAGTTTTACATGAAAATATAATGTTTATAAATATGCAATATTGAGTAACTACATGTGAATAAATTTCATGTATACTATATAATTTAAAAATTGACAATACGTGTGAGCGCTAAATGTAAAAATCTGTTTCCAGGGAAAGACCTATAGGTCCTATTTATTTAGAAAGCTATTTGAAAAGGACTCAAATTCATCAAGACTAACTTAAGCTAAGCAAATAACTAATCCCTTGCCCAAAGGAGAATTTACTCAACTATTTTACTACATCATCAATACAAGAGTCTCAAATTCAAAGCCACCCCCCAAATAGATTATTTAAGAAACACTGCATCTTCGTTTATCGTGTTTAGGTGAAACCATAATGTGATCAGGTTTTTTTAATAAATAAATATTCTTAAATCTTTGCTTAATTTAAAAAATATTTCTGTCTAACCAGCAATTAGAAGTAAGGTTTTGATTATTTACCTAATGATTTAATTGACGGTAGCTGTTTTATTAGGGAGCCTTACTTTAGCAAATGCATTTGCTTAGTTAATAAAATCACATTGTGCTTTTGTTTCTTACTTTCAGTGGTATTTGAATGTCCTTTTAATAGATAAATAGCTCTTTATGTACAAATGAAAACAGTAGATTGAAAATGAAAATGGTAATAGAATGATATCTTGCATAATTCTGATTACTGATATGAATGAAATACAATATATGTGACCTAGAAAATAGACCTTATTTTAAAATGTTCCAGTGATGTGTCTTTATCAATGAAATGTGCTCCCCCCACAAAAAATCCTAAAGATACTAAAAATGGACATCAAAAAGTTTATTCATGTTCCAGTTACTAGATAAGTATTGTGATACCCCTGTATATCATATAAGTGATATGAATTTTTATATCCTGTATTTATGAACAAAAAATAAAAATATATTTGGTACTTTTCAGCTGGTTTCATGTGATTATTTTCGTCTTTAAAATGCAAAGTATTTTAGGACCCTGATAATCATTTTAAATACATATATCAGTGAGTCAGATTAGTTTTCCTGTTTTCTATCACAGTAAAATAGTCCATTTGAAATATTCCCTTTGCTTACTATAGTTCTTTTTCTACTCAAAATATTTCAGAAATAACATACGGTTTTAAGAGAGGTAATAAGTAATAATCAATATTTTTAATTTTTTCGATGCAATATAATCATTTTTACAATTGAATAAAAGTTTTAGGGCTCCAAAGTTTTAATCCCACTCTTTTTCAGCGATCCACAGAGTTTTCAATTTAGGCGATGTTCATTTATTTCAAAATTTTGTTATTGACAAAAAAGAGAGACTTTTTTTCTTTTTTCCTTCCTTTCCTTTTTAAAATATAGTCTCAAAAATATACAACCTTCGTCAAATCAAAATTTATAAATATGACTTGTGAATTCAAGGGAAAAAAGTGATTCAAAGAAAAAATACAAGAGAGGATTGCAAAGACAAATACCACATGATCTCACTTACATGTGGAATCTAAAAAACAAAGTGTGGATTTCAAATTTCATGTCTTGTGTCTTCTGATGGTGAAAATTATCTTCAGTTTCACTGTCCAAATAGGTTACTCAGTAGTAAAGTTTTCAAAATTTTTAATGAAAATCTCATAGAAACCATCCCACAGTTTTAGTCCTCAAATATAATTATTCAAGACTACCAGAGTAAAGGAAAGTTTTATTTTGTAACACCCTTAAGAAAGATTTGTAGAAATAGTTCCTACATAGTAGATTACACGTTCTTAATGGGAAGCCTTAGGACAGTGTAGCGCATGGTGCCGGGGATAGACATCAGGAAGAAGAGATTCAATGAGAAGCAGAGATATGAGATGAGCCCTCAGCTGCCCTCTGAAAACTCCATCCTTTTGTGTCTCCATAGCACCTTTCCATAAAGCATTTAAAATTTATACTCCACCTCCATATTAAATGCTCTATTTCTGTGAAGTAGGGATGCACAGTGTCAGATATGGAGATTTCCAAAGTCATAAATTTAGTCAGTGGAAGCTAGCAAGGAAACTTGAGAGTTCTTTTTCCTGTATCTTCCTGTCCATTAAATTAACTGAATTTAATAATTCAATGCATACTCTAAGTTATGTGCTCTTGCAGAGAGCAACAGGAATGTTCGGATAGTTTTTATGATACTTGTACTATATGGTTTGAACATATGCCCTTTAAAAACCTCCTTGAAAATTGTCATTTTTCCTGGACTGCTGTCCTCCAAAGAATAGGAAACATAAAATTGCTTTTCTACCTCTTAATAGAAATCTCGTGCCTCAAGAATTTAACATTTATCTTCAACCTTCAAATAACTTCAGATAACTAACTCAAATCCTCTTCTAAAAGTACTTCAGAATGCGTCTTTAGATATGTGAACACATTTTAGACTCTCTATAAATGAATTTTAATTCCCAAACATTGCGTTTCCTTTCAAGTGTATTCACTTATACCAGTATTTTTATTCCCACTTGAAGTCTGATCTCGGTCTTTTTGAGTTTTTAATTTCACTGTATCTGCTTCTTGCCCAGTGTTCTCTTAGAACCTCCGGCCACCTCCTCTGAATGTTTACCTTTCTGTTCATGCTTGGCCACAGCCGCAGTCTCTTTCCCCTCCTTCTCTTTGGCCTTAGGTGGTGTTTTCTGTACTTCTTTGACTTTTGCAGCTGTTGGCTTCACTTTCTCTTGTTTTCCACCTTTCACATCCTTTTTGATCTTCTCTTCAGTCTTGGCTTTCCTCTCTTCTGTACAGATTAAAGACAAGTTGGATTATTTTTGTTTACTTACCAGTGCAGCATTTCATCTTTCATTGGTTGCTAAGAACAATTTAAAAAGAAAGAGAAAAGAAAAACAATGGAAAGAATAGCATCCGTGACATGCGTACTTGTGACTATTATTATCTAACTTTTATATTGTCTATAAAGTGACAGGTGAGAGTACTTAGTTGTAGCTCAGTTGCAAGTTGGACACTTTCTTAATTTGTACATTAAAACATTACCTTTTGGGTAGCTAAGAGCTTAGCATAATTAACAAGAGGCCGTTTGAAATACACAGGGGACGTATGTACAGACGTGTTCAGTGAAAGGCAATGCCCATACAAAAGAGCTATAGTCATTTTGTTTCACAGCTGAAATATCTTAAAAATCATTCAAGAAACTGAACATAGTATTTTTAAAAAATAACTATTGAGAGTATAAATGTGGAATTACTTGCACTGGTAGTGACTAATACGAATGAAACAATAAAATCCATTAAAGGATACCTCAAAAACATTCAGCCTCTAATGACTTTAAAGAGATGGAACGAGAGCAGAAATTGAGATATTAGCTGCTGCTTAAGTCAGAAATAATAATTCTAATGACTTTTAAAACCTCTACATATGTCCTAGTGAACAGAAAGGGCTATAAATTAGAAAAATATCTTAATTACAACATGTATGCATGTATATTCTACACACACATATTCTTAATTTGATATCCTGTGCATTTGGGAGGAAGGAATTAGAAATCTGAACTAATCAGTTTGTGATTATTTCAGTTATTTTTCAAAAAGCAATATTAATATAGCACACATTTGTGGGAAATTGTTTAGGTAGATCCTAACATTGGACATTATTTATTCTATGGGACTACACATGATCACTAGACACCACAGTATGTCTACTGCAACGTGGACTCTCTCATGTCATTTGTCCATGTAATGGATAGGCCTTGTCACTCATGTTGAAAAATTTGATGAAAATACTATAATTAAGTTTCTTGACTTTAGTATAGTAAGCAATAATTTGAGACTAATACAAGATAATTTTGCGAGGTCCCATGAAGAGAAGAATGAAAATGACAATGCCTGATGCTTACAAAACCAAAATCATTTGTGGTACTGCATTTACTTGAATGGATCAAACTTCCCAAAGCACTGTTCTTCGGAAACTTTGCAGGAAGATGATGCTACTATGTTATGAGGATATTATGAGGATATTCCTATGGTCAAATAAATTTGGAAACACTAAGTTAAATCAGGTTTTTTTTTTTTCACTATGAAATTTCTCAAAGCTAAAGTCTATTGAGAATCTTCAAAGAGGGAGATTTTTCTATGCCCTGTTTTCCTAATTTACTTGGTCATAAAACTCATACAAAAATCACTCAATTACTCCACAAATTTCCAATGTCTTTGTGGCTTCTGTAACTATATTCAATTGGGGATTTTCTTGTATTTCCTTTATACCACTTTTAAATCCCCTTTGCTGGTTATTGCTCTTTTCTATATTTCTGTGCCTGAAATCATCAGCTCTCCGCAAATGACTTTAAATCAATATAACTCCAGAATCTCACACCAAATATTTGTTAGTTTCTGGCTACAAAGTAAGTTCCCCTGAGATGTGAACAATACCTCCGACTCACACAATTCATCTAGGTTCACCTAATGAACCCTTCCAGAGAGCTGATTATGGCATGGGCTCAGAGTGAGTTGCAGGAGCTCTAAAGATTAGCAGGATAAAAACGTTAGTATAACTTTTAAAACCCTGCAAGATCTGGTTTCGTCCTATCTCTCCTCTCATAGCATTCTTTCTAAAAGTTTCTTTCTCCACTAGACTACTTTCTTTTCCTTGAGTATCTCATGTATTTGCTACATGTCAAACATTGCCAGGCTTCCATTTTTATGTTTTCCACATATATAAATTCCTTTGCGGCCAGCACATATCCAACAAAGCACACTACCATTGGAATTAATCATTCCTTCACCTGAGCTTCAAATTGCCTCAACTTTTATTAAAGCATACCTGCTTTTCCCTGTTATGTGTCTTGTATTACAAATGATTGTTCCTCATCTCTCTTCCCTACCAGACAGAGCAACTTGTGGATAGAAACTATATTAATCATTTTTGTAGCATCATAATGTCTAGCACAATGCTTTTTTTCAGGGAAAACACCAAAATAAATGTTTACTGAATTAGCACTTTGAATCAAGAGAGAACACTATACGTTTCACTATACATATAATACACATATAGAAATAAACATTGCACATATAAATGTGTTTAAAATGAACTTGACAAAACTTGAAAAAAATGCCAACTGGTTTTTTGTTTATACTTTTTGCGTGTGAAATTGTAATTTTTGTTACATTAAATGACACCTACTCACTTGTGGGCAGCACTTGATTTAACCTTAGCTTCATACCATGGAATTAACAATATATAAGATACATCTAATAAACATACTAAATACTTTTCATCTTTGGAGTTAGGACATAACATATTTCAACCCTTATTCATAAAGAAACTGTCAACTGCTTAACTTTTCTGTTTCCCAGTTTCTCTCATTAAACAAAAATTTACCACTGTGGCTATTTCTTCCTTTAACAAAGTGGTAAAGATAAGTAAAAATAATGTGAACAAAGAATTTGGACACTGAAAAATAAAAACATAGGAATTTCTAATATTAAATCCTCATATCCTGTACTCCTAGAACTCTTTGGAGTCTTCCAAGAACTTAGATTTTGGTGTGTAGCACAATTACTATTTATACTCATTTTACAGATGAGTAATCTTGGAATAAAGGTCATTTGCTTTTCATGCACCATGTGAACATGGTGCAACTAATAAGGCGGGAGTAGATGCAGTAGAACCAAAATGCCTAACCCATTTCTCCATTACACTAAATTGCATAATATTATTAATATTAAGCTCTGAGGATGATACCAAAAATGTATTGTAAGACCTATGAGGGGAGATATAAATATACACAAACCAGTGAAAATAATAGAACATCTTCTGAAAGTGATCAATAAGTAGTAACCTCCCCTACTTCATCAAATACACAAATATCTGCAGATCATTATTTTCCAGCCAGTTCAACAGCCTGCCATAAATTTGGCTTACCCCCTTCGCTTCTCTTGCCATCATCTCTTCCCCTATTTCTTCCCTGTCTTTGTTATTTTTAATGAACTATAGGAATATGCTGGTTTTCACAATGAATATGAGGTCTTACACATGTAGCAGAGAGGAAGTCCTGAGGTGGTTCAGACTTCTGGACAGGCTGTCCTTGAAACAGAGTAAGAAAGGTGCCATGTTGGGGCATCTAGATGGCTTAGTTGATTAAGTATCTGCCTTCAGCTAAAGTCATGATCCCAGGGCCTTGAGATCAAGCCCCTGTGGGGCTCCCTGCTCAGGAGGAGTCTGCTTCTCCCTTTCCCACTCCTTGTGCATCGTTCAATCTCTCTCTCTTTCTCTCTCTGCAAATAAATAAACAAAGTCTCACTTAAAAAAAAAAAAGGTGCTGTGTTCCATGGGAACACCTTTGGCAAGGTCTTTAGGAGGAGATTTCACTTTACTTCTGGTAATACCTCTCAAATATAATAGATTATTTCTAAGTTAATTTTCACATACTATAATGAATATCTTATTAATCTTATTCTGTTTCTCCCCAAATTACCCATTATACAAAGAGCATATCCTATGTATTTCCTATATTCCTTAAACAAGGTATATATAAATACATAAAATAAAAAGGGAAATTATATTTGTGTGTGTATATACACACATAATTTATACATATATAGATATTTACATCTATCTCCCTCATAAGAATATAAATATGTATATTAAGTATTTGTGATTTGTGGCAGGCCAGGCTGATTCAAGATGGCCCCCCATGATCTCCCTTTCTGGTATTCATATTCATAATCCTCTCCTCTTGAATATGGACTGGGCTATGAATTTGCCGCTAACCAATAGTATGTGACTTCCAGGATTAGTCTACATAAGATTATTTCTATTTTACTAGCTGATTTTTTTTCTTGCTAAGTTTGATGAAGCCAGACTATCCTATTTAGTGAGACTCGTGTGTCAAGGAACTGAGTGGCTTCCAACCATCAGAAAGAATTGAGGTCCTGATTCAACAGGTCTTGAAGAACTGAATCTTGCCAACAGTCATGTAAATGAACTTGGAAATTATCCTTCCCCAGTTGAACCTTCAGTTAGGCTTTGTCTAATACATTTGACTACAATCCTGTGAGACATTGTGAAGTGCATAGGACTAAGCTAAGCCATGCCCAGATTATTTTTTTTTAAGATTTCATTTATTTATTCATGAGAGACACAAAGAGAGAGGGAGAGACACAGGCAGAGAGAGAAGCAGGCTCCTCACAGGGAGGCCGATGTGGGACTCCATCCCCAGGCCCGGGATCACACCCTGAGACAAAGGCAAAGATGTCTGCTCAACCACTGAGCCACCCAGGCATCCCCATGCCCAGAGTTCTGATCCACAAAAGCTGACACAGTAAATGTGTATTGACGTAAGTTTCTAAATTTGTGGTAATTTTTTCACAGCAATAACTAACTAGTGCAGTATTAAATAGATATTTGTTAAAGGAATAATTGATGCTTGAAGACCTTTAATAGTTTTGGAAAGAAAACTAGACTTATGCTCAGTTCACTTGGAGTTTTGTCTTAGTTTAATTATATACTAGTTATATGATCCAGGCACAATGTTTTTTCTCCCTGGAGGTCAGTTTCTTCATCTGTTAAGTTAGGTAATTAGGTGAGATGATCTCTAACATCCCTACCAGCTTGAAGATTTCATATGTATATGAATTTATTTTCTTTCAAATATGTCAAAAGGAAGAGAATCAAATAGATAAAATAATATACCTTTAGCTATAAAATTCATCTTAAGACTAAATTCATGCTAGCTTGTAGGAAACAAAGTCATAGTTTATAATCCATCTTAATAAAATGATATTTGGTTATCTTATGAAAATATTTATTCTAAATTTTTTTTAATTTTTATTTATTTTATGATAGTCACAGAGAGAGAGAGAGAGAGAGAGAGAGGCAGAGACATAGGCAGAGGGAGAAGCAGGCTCCATGCACCGGGAGCCCGACGTGGGATTCGATCCGGGGTCTCCAGGATCGCTCCCTGGGCCAAAGGCAGGCGCCAAACCGCTGCGCCACCCAGGGATCCCATCTTATGAAAATATTTAGTAAAAAAACATATCTACCTCAAATACTTAACTATTGTACATCATGTAGACAAATACGTTAAATTTTGAAAGTAGACTCCAATGTTCATTTAAATGATTAGTCCCTTGAAAATACTGAAATTTAGATTTCTAAAATATACTGGTCATATAAAATCTATATTTTTAAATGGGAAAAGAAAATGTAAATTTAGGAGACAAGATTGAACTACCAGTTAGAATCCATATTTTTTTAACATCAAAGAACTGTCAAAAAATTTAAAACTAAATTTATAATTTAGTATTTATGTAATCCTCCAAAATACATAACATTATGTTTATATTCTAATTGATATGGGGGGATATATTATTAAGACACTTTTGGTCTTCAATGGCTTAATATATCAATCATGATATATGCATTATCCTTTCTTCTTGAAAAAAAAATCCTGAATTTGAAACTTCTATAATTAACTCAAAGTGTACTACTGGTCAAAAGCTATAAACCAAATATGTAGCAAATTACCACAAACTTAGCTGCTTATTACCACAATATCCATTTAATATCTCCCAGTTTCCAAAGTTCAAAAGTTTTGGCACAATATGGCTCCATTGTTTTCTGCTTAAGGTTCACAAGGCTGAAATCAAATTGCCAACAGAGCTGCATTTTTTACTGGAGGCTCTGGGGAAGATTCACTTTATTCAACATGTTGACAAAATTCTTCTCACAGAATTGAGGGGAGCTGTCTATGTGCTCCCCTCAATTTTCAAGCCAGCAATGGGGAGACAAATCCTTCCCGCACTTCAAATCTCCCTTTCTCTTCTGTGACATCTCTATGCTTTAAAGGTTCATAAGATTACACTGAGCCTACCTGGATAATCCAGGATGATCTCCGTAGTTTAGATCAACCTGAACTACTTCTGCAAAGTCCTCTTTGGCATGTAATATAACATATCCATGAGGATAACAGCAAGTGGTAAAGGTCTTGGGGTTACAAATTCTTCCCATCACCTATGGAAAAGCTCTTCATCTTCCTCTCACATTTTCCTAGGATCTATTATTTTAAGCATTTAGTTTTATTATTCTTTAAAATATTACATTTTAAATATAAGACCAAATTAATTTTTGTGTAAAGGAAATGCTTAATACTTATAATACCCAGCTATCTGACACCCAAAATGTAATATTTTCTTTTTTTTTTTTAACAGTGAAGCTTTTTTTTTTTAAATTTTTATTTATGATAGTCACAGAGAGAGAGAGAGAGGCAGAGACACATAGGCAGAGGGAGAAGCAGGCTCCATGCACCGAGAGCCCGATGTGGGACTCGATCCCGGGTCTCCAGGATCGCGCCCTGGGCCAAAGGCAGGCGCTAAACCACTGAGCCACCCAGGGATCCCAAAATATAATATTTTCAAGTAAAAATAGTTTAGTTATAGAAATTATGAAGGGGGGTTGGCGTCTGGGTGGCTCAGTCAGTGAAGCATCTGACTCTTGTTCTCAGATCAGGTCTTGATCTCAGGGTCATGAGTTTAAGCCCTGCACTGGGTTTCATGTTGGGTGTGAAGCATCCTAGGAAGGAACTAGTGAACAAACAAATGAATGAATGAATGAACAAAGGAAAGAAAGAAGGAATAAAGGGAAAAGTTACCTTTTGCCATTGTCTTTGTTTCTGGTTTTTCTTTTTTCTCAATTTTTTCCTTGTGAGTCGCTTAAACAGAAAATTTTATATTAGTACACACTTTCAGTAGATTTCAAGCCCAAGCTTTCTCTTTACCTCAATTTCTATAGCCACCAAAATCATGAACTATTTTGAAGATCGATGACATTCATAAGCCTGATTTAGAAGTAAAAAGATACTAATGTAATAATACCTGGATAAAGCCCAATTTAAAGATTTAGAAAGCATTTTGAAAGCAACTCTCATTCTCCTTTTTAAAGTTATTATTCTAAATAGATAGAGTTTTCAGGAATGACAGAGAGCAGTTTTAGGATAACTTGTCAAAAGATGCTATTTTATCAGAGAGAAATACTCTCTTTATGATTAATCAGAATAAATATTTAAATCAGAATTAGAGCTTTGATTAAGAACAGTGTTTCTCAACCAGGACATAATTGACGTTTGGGGAATAATAATTTCTTACTATAAGGGACTGTCTTATGCATCAAAAAAAAAAAAAAAAAGCTTAGCATTTCTGGTCTCTGCTTATCAAATGTCCTCCACTCTAAAGACATTTTGACAATGAAAAAGTTTTTCTGAATAATCCCTAAGAAACAGTATGTTTGAGAGAGAACAACCAATAAAGTATAATGTAATCACAAATGATTAGTTATTGTGTGTAGCTTCTTAATTGAATAGTATTTGACATGATACCTAAAACATTATACCTTTTCATCATTATGTAATAAATTAATAAGTCAATATGAATTTTTTTCCCTAACTTTATTAAGTAAAGGAGCATGTGGAGGTTAGTCATCTTTCAACTGTACTAAACTGTGTGTGGTTTGGTAGTTTCCCAAACCACCATACATTTTTCAACATTTATGTATTATTTATCAGAGAATAATGGGAATGCAACAAGTGATAGGAAATTAAATGAAAAAGTAAGAGATTTAATTAAACAGTTGGGTTCAGGAAAGAGCCAAATTATTGGAGTAAAAAATTAGAGTCCCAATTATTTCCATTTCTCCAACTATATAATAAAAACATTAACATCCATCAGCTTTATTTGTATTATAAAAGAAAAAATGTCTCTAAACATGTATTTAACAAACTAGTCTTTTAAAATACAGCTGATGAATAGTTTCTCCAGAAACTTGGAGAGATAAACCAAACCTCACGCAAAGCTTAAAGCACAATGCTCCGTTGAAGACCAAGTGACCCTGGCAGTTGCTGAGCTAGAGAAAGAGCAGGTGCCTCCCTAACCAGTGAGCCTCTCAACCTCTCAGCCTGCCCCCACAGCCATCTCCACTACCGTTTGGGGTTATGAGTAATAGCTTGGACAACATTAGCTGAAGGAGCATTATGCCAACCTAAGAAAGGCACAATTCACACAAGGTCATTGAGCCCAGTAAAATAACTTACTTCATAAAAAGCAAACTCCTTTCATTAGTTAACAATGAATGAAAGGACACTTACAATGAACTATTTTGTTCTGCTTTCCAATTTGAAAATTCCCCTGTAACATGTATAATTTAATAGCAACAAATTCTCAACTACTTTTTAACGAAAGATATTTAGCCACTGGGAAAGTTGAAAAAAAATCATAAGAAATATGAGATTATTTCATTCACTCAGAGTGCATTGAACCTGATGCCAATAGTTCTACATAAATTAGTAGCAGAAGGGAAATAGACACCTGTTTCTAGAGCAAAAAAGGTGGCTGTATTAAAATTTGTGGCTATTATCACTAAGTAAACATTAATAAAGCAATAAGTATTTAATTTGAAATTTTAGATGTGATTATAAAATAAAGATTGAAACATGTTTCGATGATCTGATTCCTAAAATATTCTAAAATAGTCTAGCTATGGAATGTTTCACAGAAGATAGCTCAGCAGGCTATGTATATTTGGATATAGAAATCAGCTAAAATCTAGCACAAATATCCTAGACATATCCACTCTAAAACAAGAGCAGAAAAAAAAAGAAATTAGAGTTTTATTTCACATCGTACATTGCAATGGATTTGTGATGAATTAAATTTAAATGTGAAATGCAAAACTAATTTTTAAAACTTGGGGCAATATTAGTAAGTATTTAATTAGTCTTTGAATGAAGATTCAGAGCAAACATGTCAAAAGAAAATATCAATATATCTAGCCAAAGATAAAAATTCAAGAATCTAAGCACAAACACATGCATATACACATACATGCGCTCACACGTGTCTATGCACAAAGACAGAAACCCTAACCTTAACCATGAAACCAGAGAAAAATATCTGAAAAAGTGACAAAAAATATACCCAGATGACATGCACAAGTATTATTAGGCAAAGTCTGTAATGAGTGTGAATAGTTATATAAGAAATATACATCACTAAAAATCATATTTAAATCCTTCAACCTACAAATAATAAGCAGTTTAAAGATAAAGTGGAAGAAAATATCTCCATTTAAATACTATGAAGCTGGTGGAAAGGGAGGTGGTCGGGGGGTGGGGGTGACTAGGTGATGGGCACTGAGGAGGGCACTTGGCGGGATGAACACTGGGTGTTATGCTATATGTTGGCAAATTGAACTCCAATAAAAAATGATTAAAAAAATAGTAAATAAATACATACGTACTATGAAACTTTTTTTTAAAAAAATGAGGAAAATACCTATTTACTGATATGGAAAGATCTCTAAGGTATATTATTGAATTATAAAAGCCAGAATAGAGGACACATTAAATTTTGTGCAAAAAATAAAAAAACATCAAGAAACTATAATCTATATTATCTTATAAATACATATTGAAGCCCTGAAAGATACACATAAAACTCAAATATGGTCCATTGTGTGTATGATTGGGTAGGACGGAATGGGATCTGAAAGACTCAGAGGAAGGCAGGAGCTTTTCAGTGTATCTGTATGTATGAAACAAGGAGTCTACATTGTAGTTTCTAAACTAATACATACAAATTAAAATTTGTTAAAATTCCAGTCCTATAGGTCATCAAAGAATGAAGGTTAAAAATAATGAAGTATAGTTTCTTACCTGTCAAATGGGCAAATATTCTGTGAAATAATACCCTCATTGTTGGCTAAGGCAGTCTCACAACTGCCAGGGGAAAAATAGATATATTTCTAGAAAGTAAGTTGGTAACAGAATTTGAGTCTTAAGTATTTTATTTGCTTCAACCTAGAAATGACTCCTTATAGATTCAATTCTAAGGAAAATATCATAATATAATTTTTAAAAATCCAATGTAGAGAAGAAGAATTCAAAGGAGGAGGGGCCAATGTGTAAGAACAACAGTAAGACTAACTCCATACCTTTCTTTTCAGATTTTTCTTTTTCTTTTACTTTTTCTTTTTCTCTGTGTGCAACTGGAAAAAAAACAGACAATACTTTTCACTTAAAGAGAATAAATAATGAGACGTTTGCATGGCAATTTTTGATGTCAAAAACTTATCTTTTGCTTTTGAAATCTTTTTTAATTAGAATGAGGTTTTACATAGTTAGGTGTTTAAATATTAACAAAGCTATATTTTTTTATTTCTAGTTTTATTTCATATCCATGCACAAACTTGTACCAAAACCAAGTCTGATTGCAAATGAAGAATACACCTCAGCTCTTTCAAATCTTTAACTTCAACATAATGTAGTAGAAAATTTCAAAAATTTATCATGCTATGCACCAAAGGAGGCCAGCATAATACTGGGAAAAACAGCAAAATATAAAAAACAGAAATACAGAGAGATAATTTTCTGAATCCGATGCAAAGTATAATCAACATAAATTATGTGTGTTACCCTTCTACAGAAGCATTCCATACTAAAAGTTTTTGAAAATACGCTGGCATGAGACTAGAATGACACCAAATCCTTTCAAAGAAAACTAAACTTAATTTACTATAAGCCGTGATCCAATTAATTAATATAGTAGGGCTCAAATTTAAATCAAAACCTATCCCCACAATTTAGTCATAACTCTTATTAACGGCATGTCCAATGGTCAGGCTATAAACATGGGAGTCATCCAGGATTCATCTTTTAATTTCCATTTATGTTCATTTGCCAAATTCTTTCAATCCACCTTTCAATATTTCCTTTATACATATTTTTTGACCCAATATTATATTCTCCTCCTGTCATTGACTTACACAAAAATAAAGAAAGCACCTGCTGTGTGCTGAAGACTGTTAGGCAAGACAGACTGTATCCCCGCCACTGTGATGTCAACAAGCTGACGAATAATGGAAGTAGGACAAACAACTGCAAAGGTAGTTAATTGCAGTTGATATAACTGCCATGAAGAAAATATTTAGGGTAGCATTCAGAGAACTAGCTAGTCTGTGCACTTGGGGAGTGTCTCACATTTAAGGAGGTGAAAGATGAGAAAACATTAACCCGTTAAGGGAAGGGGAAGGTGAAAGGGAAAGAAACCACGTCAATATTTGGAGTAGAATGCCCTTATTGCTACATTATTATTGCAAATATTATTATAATAATATCCTAACTATTCCCTTGAACCTTCATCTTGGGATTTTTTTCAGAATAACCTTTCTAATCCCTATTAGAAAATCTGATTATACTATTGACCTGTTACAAATATTAGCTAGTATCTCCCTCATTGCCTACACATGGTATCTCTTACACAGTAGGTGCTATGTAAAATCCAAAACTATTTTATTGCTCTGATGGTTTGATATTTGCTTATCAACCCAATCTTTTCCACATGAACGTCCCCCTGAACTTCACGTTCCAGTTATATCAAAATGATTGTAGCTCCACATGCACTCCGTGTGCCCTCCTGTCTCCCTGCCTGTGCCTTCCACCTAGAATTTCTACTCCTGCGCTTCCTCTTGTCAGTGTGCTCTTTCAGTACTGACTCACTTTCCTCCTCCACTGTAAAATGTTCTTTCATCTCTACTTAGTTCACACATCAATGGAACCATATGCATAATTCCATTTTAACAATTAAGCGATAGTACTGCCACTGTTCATGTATCTGACTCCCTAGAAGGTGAAATCACTCCAAAGCCTATGCCACATTATTTCATTTTCATATCCCTGGCTCATCACATGGTGTTTGCCCCATAGTGGAATTTTAATAGATTTCTTTTAGAGTAAGCCAAATTCTGAAATATTCTAAGGAAAACTACTTTCACCTTCTAATACAATCCTATTTATTAACGATATGGTATAGATATTATAAGCACTGCTTGCTTCTGGCAACTGAAAGTTTTATAGTTTATCAAAATTTCTTAAATAATTAAACCCCAGTGAGAGGCAGAAAAAGAAAAAAATTCACCTTTGAACATCTCGACATTATTTTTCCTCACATTTAATACTCCTTTTAGGTGTTTCTGAGTTACTAAGTTCAGTATAAATATCTCACAAAATAAAGAGAGGATATTATATGTAAACATGACCACAAATAGCTTATTTTGATTCTTTGGGATATCTATTAATTAAGCTAAAAACCAAAAGAGAATCTTGGCAAACACAAAGCCTCTTTTAAAAGTTCTCTAGGGGGAACCAAGTTTGCATGAGATAAGCTGTGCTTTTGGAACTTGGTTGGTAAAATCCCCAGGAGAACACCTAATCTGTGTCTCTGCTTCTGTGAAGGACCAGACCTCACCCACCTTGGACAGCTGGTTGTCCATTCCACTAAAGGATTTTCTGGCTGACGTGTGCGCAGGCATAAATGGAAGAATTAAAACAAAATCAAAAGAGCAAGGGGGGGGCTGAATTCAGACTCAAATTAGCATATTAATGCCTTATTCCTGTTACCCTGGGGGAAAATCTGGTTCCTCACAGTCTAAATTTTGATTTACAGACACAATCCTGTATGCTGGAATTTCATTATCCCCCTCAGAAATGGTACCATAACATTGCTCAGTGAAACAGCTGGACCCATGTGCTCTAGGGAGCTGTTCAAAATGGCAGACAGCCACTAAAGCTTCTTGGATGAAAACTTCAAACTTTGGCAAGACTGAGCTCTCAGATACCAAGTTTTAAAATTTCTTTTATCAAAGCAATGCAACCATCAGTAACTGCCTTAATAATCACACTAAAATAGAAAACACTTTGCTACAACTGCATTAGCTTGTGCACCCTATTGCTTAGAAACTACAACCAGAAGTTTTCATACGGAAGAAGAAAAAAGTACCTTCCTTGTCACCAGCTCTGTTTGGCAAGTTACATCTTAGCCAGGATAGTTTTAGCTCAGGACAAAATAAGCTTGTTGCACCTGCTAGAGCTTAATTTGTTTGTCATCCTTATTTACAAGAAGCAAAAGTCCCTTCGGTATACTGATAATTAAAAACAAATGGAATCCACCAGTTGGAATGGCCCTGATGTTTGGCATCGGAGTTGGCATGGCCCTGCTATTCCTGCACTTGCCCAGACTCTGACCTTTCCCTGACCAGAACATTCAGCTCAACTTAACACTGCAGCAGTCTCTCTCGCCCACCCCATGTGGTCCCTCTCCAGCATTCTGCAAGCTGTGCTCTGTGCTTTTACAGAGCTTGGCCCTGGCAAGTTGTCAGACAGGCCCTGTGTCCTTTCCTAAATGTACTAGAGCTCATAGTGCACCTGACCCTGAGGTTCTAATCCAGTAAACCTTCCCTACAGGCCAAGCAGTAGGCATTTAGGGCCAGGTTGGTGGAGCTCTTTGCTGATCTCTCTGTTTCTCGTTGGAAAAACTAAAAAGTTGGGTGTCAAAAAGTTTTCAGTACTGAAGAGCCTAGGCTTTAGCCAACACCGAACAAAAAGTCAGATGCGTTCTTGGTTAGCATGTATGTCTCTGTATGTTTTTGTGTATTTAGTTTTGTAACTAATCTGTAGAATTTCCATTCTGTGCTAAGGCAAGATGCTCTACACATTCTAAGCGATAATGATGAACTCAATGGAAAAACACTCTTGAGGAGAGAAAATTGTCCATGATTGTATTACTCATTCTTCCTAAAGGATGACTTTATCACTTTTTACTTAAAATAAGCACACAATTTTAGAGCTGATAGAAACCTAAGAGATCAATTAGCCTGAACTTCTTTTTCTCCAGATAAGAAAACACTGCCTCAAAAGAGTCCATGGCGGAGAAGAATGAGAATATGGTGATCAGATTGCCAAATCAGTACTCTTCCTCCAAAAACTGTGAAGCCTTGTCCATGTAGGTCTTGTGCAGACTAGAAACTTGTTTTTAAGAGTCAAAGGCTGCTGGTTTGATTCCTGAAGCATGTTATCTACAGTCAATCCTGCAATAATAGATACACTTCTTTTTCACAATAAAATTACATTTCTTGGGGCACCTGGGTGGCTCAGTGGTTGAGTGTCAGCCTTTAACTTAGGTTGTGATCCTGGGATCCTGGGATCAAATCTGGCATTAGGCTCCCCACAGGGAGCCTGTTTCTCCCTCTGCCAATGTTTCTACCTCTCTCTCTGTGTTTCTCATGAATAAATAAACAAAACCTTAAAAAATAGTAAAAATAAAATTACTTTTCTTTATGTATTAAAATGTAGATTAAGCAAATTACCCAAAGTTATAAAGCTCCTCTGATATATGCTTCAAATCACAAAGTATACAGTTAAATTCCAAAATATTAGTGGATTTTTTTAAAGATTTTATTTATTCATGAAAGACACACAAGAGAGAGGCAGAGACACAGGCAGAGGGAAAAGCAGGCTCCCTGCAGGGACCCCAGGATCACGCCCTAAGCCCAAGGCAGATGCTCAACCACTGAGCGGTCCAGGCATCCCCCAAAATATTAATTTTACTCTCAAATCTGATTTAATTGTACAGGCAATTTCCCCTTCAACTGAGGCTCAGTCAGAACTGTAGCCACCTCCTCAAAAGTGAACAATCACTGTGGGGGAGGTGATGCATAGCTTTGTGTAGAGCCTTCTTGTCTCATTTTCCAGGTTCATCTTGCACAAATGCCAGAGAAAAAAAGAAAATATATTTTGTACTGTAAAGAGTCAATTAAGTATGGCTGAGAGAAGGCAAAAGTAAAAGTTTATACAATACAGGCTGGCTAAATTAGTTTGTGGTCTTTGAGAGCATTTTTATAAGGAGCTCCAGGATATTCAGATACATTTTAATGTCCTATCTTTTTTGGCTTTTGATTCTCATCTCCAGCAAAATCCTTTGCCAGCCTATGATTCCAGTACTATAATTGTTTCCCAGAAACAATCCTACCCCAGTCAATCAGGATTATTATTCTAAATTACCCTCTTAAAAATGTTCTTCTGACTGCATATAATACCATTATGCATTGAATTGCATAGTCTCAAAAGATGTGTTGAAGTCCTAATCCCCAGAACCTCAGAATGTGACCTTAGTTGGAAATAGAGTCTTTAAACAGGCAATCAGGTTAAAATG